AATGATTCAGCATTTTTATACTTTATTCAGCAGTGCTCATCATAAGTGTACTCTTTTTTTTTTTTAAAGATATTATTTATTTATTTGACAGAGAGACACAGTGAGAGAAGGAACACAAGCAGGGGGAGTGGGAGAGGGAGAAGCAGGCTTCCCGCCGAGCAGGGAGCCCGATGTGGGGCTCGATCCCAGGACCCTGGGACCGTGACCTGAGCTGAAAGCAGATGCTTAACTACTGAGCCACCCAGGCACCCCCATAAGTGTACTCTTAATCCTCTTTATCTATGTCACTCATCCCTCACCACCTCTCCTCTGGCAACCACCAGTATGTCCTCTGTATTTAAGAGTCTGGGGTTTTTTTTGTTTGTCTCTTGTTTTCTTCAATTGTTTTGTTTCTTAAATTCCACGTATGAGTGGGGCGCCTGGGTGGCTCAGTCGGTTAAGCGTCTGCCTTCGGCCCAGGTCATGATCCCAGGGTCCTGGGATTAAGTCCCCCATTGGGCTCCCTGCTCAGCGGGGAGTCTGCTTCTCCCTCTCCTCTGTCCCTGCCCCCTGCTCGTGCTCTCTCTCATGCTCTCTCTCTTTCAAATCAGTAAATACCATTAAAAAAAAAAATTCCACATATGAGTGAAATCATGTGGTATTTGTCTTTCTCTGACTGACTTGTTTCAGTTAACATTATACCCTCTAAGTCCATCCATTCCATCCATGTTGTTGCAAATGGCAAGATGTCACTATTTTTATGCCTGAGTACTACTCCACTGTGTGTGTGTGTGTTTGGTTTGTATATATACCACATCATCTTTATCATTCATCTGTGGATGGACACTTGGGTTGCTTCTATATCTTGGCTATTTTAAATAATGCTGCAGTAAACATAGGGGTGCAATGTATCTTTTTGGATTAGTGTTTTTGTTTTCTTTGGGTAAACACTGAGTAGTGGAATTACTGGATCATATGATAATTCTATTTTTAATTTTTTGAGGAACCTCCATGCTGTTTTCCACAGTGGCTACTCCAATTTGCATTTCTACCAACCTGCATGAAGGTTCATTTTTCTCCACATCCTCACCAACATGTTCGTATCTTTTTGATTCTAGCCATTCTGCCAGGTATAAGGTGGTAGTTCATTATGGTTTTGATTTGCATTTCCCTGATGATGAGTGATGTTGAGCATCTTTTCATGTGTCTGCTGCCCATCTGGATGTCTTCTTTGGAAAAATGTCTGTTCAGGTCCTCTGCCCATTTTTAAATTGGATTATTTTGTTTTTTCCTGTTGCATTAAGTTCTTTGCATATTTTGAATATTAACCCCTTATTGGATATATCATTTGCAAATAATCTTCTCCCATTCAGTAGGTTGTCTTTTCATTTTGTTGTTGGTTCCCTTTGCTATGCAAAAGCTTTTTATTTTGATGTAGTCCTAATAGTTTATTTTTGCTTTTGTTTCCCTTGCCCAAGGAGACATATCTAGAAAAATGTTGCTATGGCCAATGCCAATGAGATTACTGCCTCTGTTTTCTTACAGGAGTTTTTTGGTTTCAGGTCTTACTTCCAGGTCGGTAATCCATTTTGAGTTTATTTTTGTGTAAAGTGTAAGAAAGTGTGGTCCTGTTTCATTTTTTTGCATGAAGCTCTCCATTTTTTCCAACACCATTGATTGAATATGCTGTCTTTTCCCTGTTGTATATTCTTACCTCCTTTGTCATAGATTAATTGATTATTTAAGCATGAGTTTATAGCTGCGTTCTCTCTTTTATTCCATTGATCTATGTTTTTTGTGTGTTTTTTTTTTTGTGCTAGTATCATACCGTTCTGATGTACTACAGCTTTGTAGTGTATCTTGAAATCTGGTATTGTGATAACCTCCAGCTTTGTTCTTTCTCAAGATTGCTTTGGCTATTATTAGCCTTTTCTGTACTATTTGAGAACAAGTTGCAGACATAGTACTATGTATAAATATATGCAGATACGATATAAGACAAAAACATAATCACACTTTAACCAACCGTCCAAGTCAGGAAATCACCATTAATATAACACTAGTATTCCTTCACTGATTCCATGCAGATTTCACCAGCAGTTCCATTAGTGTTCTGGTTCAGGATCCAATCCAGGATCATAGATTGCATTTAATTCTCATGTCCGTTAAGTTTTCTTCAATAAGGCATTTTCTAACTTTCTGACCTTTACATTTTTTTGAGAGAGTACAACTTTTTATTCTTTAGCATGACTTTCAACCTGAGTCTTTCTGATGTTTCCTCATGATCAGATGCCAGCCTTGCACATGTGACAGCAGTACAGAAATGATGCTGTGTTTGTGCATCTCATTAGGAGACAATGTTTACCCATCTCCTGTTGGTGATGTTACTCTTGATCACCTGTTCAAGTTATTATCTCTACTCTAAAGATATGGTTGTTCTCTTTTATAATTGGTAAGTATTTTGTGGTGTGATATTCTGATGCTATTATAATAATGTGTTCCTTTTCAAACCTTCACACCAATCTTAGCATCTTTTGAAGACTCCCACTTGAATCATCAGCCACTAATGATGTTACCAAATTGTGCTGTTCTATTTTCCTGTTAATTAGTGGCATTCTGTAAGAAATAGTTTTTCTTACCCCTTCTCTCATTTGTTTATTTATGTAATTATGGGTTGCTACCTGCGTTCCTGTCTATTGATGGTTGTAATCTCTTTTATTTAATCTAATACTCATATTGTGCCAGATTTGGTCAGTAGGCATCCTTTCAACTGGTCCTTATGTCCTTTTACTATGTTTCTGTCATTTTGTGAATACTCTCTTTTGTTTGACTTAAGATGTTCTGGCCTACTTTCCCTGTCTCAACTCTGGAGTCACTTATTTCTGCTAAGGAACCTGATTCTTTTTAGTGGATAATGGCATTTAGAAACTCAAATCTGGGCTCTTGGTGTGCTTCTAGGCTCTCTCAGTGGACTGTTCTTAGTATATTTACTTACTTGCTTCATTCTTTCTCTGATCCCATCAGCTGCTTCCCACAGCGTACTGCTATGGGAGAATTTTCAAGGAGTGACTAACCCTCTACTTTTTCTAGTGGGGATTGCATGAGAATTTAGATTTTGTTTTTGGTAACAGCTTTATTGAGCTATATATTGAGATATTCACATACCATAAAATTTACCCATTTATGGGATGTAATTCAATGGTGTGTAACCATCACAATAAATTTTAGAAAAATTTTATCATCCCCAGAAGAAACCCCATATTCATCTTTAGCAGGCACCTTTCCTTCCCTCACCTCTCATATCTCCTATGCCTGTGGCATCCACTAATCTACTTTTAGTTTCTAGAGATCTCTCTAGATTTGCCAATTCTGGACAGGAAAATTAGATTTTATGATCACTAAAGTTTCTTCTTAGCCAGCAATTTTATAAAGTATCTAATTCAATCATTTAATTTTATTTATTTTTTTTTTTTTAAAGAGAGTGTGTGCATGCATGTGTGAAGGAAGGGCACAGAAAGAGGGAGAGAGAAAATCTAAAGCAGGCTCCATGCTCAGCATGGTGCCCTACTCGGGGCTCGATCTCATGACCCAGAGATCATGACCTGAGCTGAAATTAAGAGTCGGACGCTTAACTGACTGAGCCCACCACCCAGACGCCCCAATTTAGTAATTTTAAACAGTCTTTTGCTATCATGGACTCATTTGAGAATATAATGAAAGCGTAGACTGACTTTTCAGTTTTAGGTCATTCATGGACATTAATTGTTCCAATTACATGTTGCTCCATAACAAACATCCAAAACTTAGTGGCTTAGTACAACAATTGATTTCTGTCTCATTGTTCTGTGGGTTGACTTGGCTTAGTTGGGCAAGTTTCATTTGGGCTCTCTCATGCATTCATACTTAAATGCAAGCTGCTGGGGCTGGAGTCATTTGAAAGCTCAACTGGGTTGGAAGTCCAGGGTGACTTTTTCACTTCTATATTTAGCACTTAGCTAGGGTGGCTGGAACAAGTTGGGGGCTGGCCAGGTGTATCTTTTTTCTCCGCATGTGGTTAGCTTGGGTTTCCTCACAGCATGGCAGTCTTGGGGTGGTCGGACTTCATATGTGGTGTCTCTTTCTCCAGAGTGAAGTTGTAAGAGACCCAGGTGGAACCTGCATATCTTCTTAGGACTTAGCCTTTGAAGTCCCAGAATGTCATTTCTGCTGTGTTCTGTTAGTCAAGCTAGTCATTAAGATCAGCAGAGATTCAGGGAATTAGGGAATTCAGAGAAAAGGGAATTAGACTCTGCTTCTTGATAAAGAATGACATTTGTGCATAGGAAGAGAAAGAATTAATGGCAGCTATGTTTAGATGCTATTTCAATACTAAAGTTGAAAACTCTGGCCTAATTGGCACACTGATAAATTTAGTATACTTATACTATTTTAGAACTTGAAAGATCATATATTACATTATTAGCATATTGATTGTTCTTTATTACACCCTACATTTTAATCTGCCAAGTGGCTTATTTCACCTGAAGTCCAGAAAACTTGCTTATTTTTTGTTACGTTTAAGCGTTAGGCTCTTTAGACATACACATTGTAGCAAAATCAAGAAAAATGTTACACTGTTTTTCATTAGTCTTTATTCCTCAGCAGTAAAAAGTAAAAGAAGTAATAACATGATTGTCAGGTTAAATTTTTTTTTTTTTTTTTGGTCAGGTTAAATTTAATTAAAATACTTAATATTGAAATTGACCGGGGTGCCTGGGTGGCTCAGTCGGTTAAGCATCTGCCTTTGGCTCAGGTCATGATCCCTGGGTCCTGGGATCGAGCCCTGCATTGGGCTCCCTGCTCAGCGGGAAGCCTGCTTCTCCCTCTCCCACTCCCCCTGCTTGTGTTCCCTCTCTCGCTGACTCTCTGTCAAATAAATAAATAAAATCTTAAAAAAAAAGAAAGAAATTGACCAACTAACAGTTTAATTCAACATGGAATTAGCAGCCTTTGGTCACGATATTATCATTTGCATTTTGCAGGTGACTCAAGAGTAAAAATATCTACAGTAATACCAGAGAATAAAATACATCACAAGTTAGGTAAGATTATTTCTCTCTTTTAATATCTTCATATTATAAAACCTCTGTTACTAAATAGGACTTAATTTTTCTCACGCAGGGAGGAAATATTTGGATTAATTGGCAGATAAATTAAAACTGTTTGTTTAGTTTTTATGAATTTCACAGTAAGTCATCACAGGCCAAATGATGATCTTTATTGTTCATTTATAAATCCTGTGTCCCTCTCACTCTTTGCCCCATATTAAGGAGCATGATTTCACCTATGCTAAGAAGTTAGAGTGGATAATTCTGTAAGTAATAACTGCTAGGTAGATGACATCCCTGACAACTCCCATTTTTATCCAGTCCAGCAGTAGCTGGAATAAGTAGGCAAAGATGGGAGCTGGGGAACCCATGGAGAGGCCACGGAGGATTAAAACTCTGTGGTTCCCCATGATATATTTGCCAGTCAGGATTCATGGGACCTTTCGCCTTTGTGGGATTGTAGTGGCCTTTTATGTTTCTCTCTATGCCTGAAGTTGTGAGTGCTCCTGAACTTGTACCTGAAGAGAACCACTAGAAGTGAAGTTTCCTCAAATTGCTTCAACCAAAAACTCATATTTTGTCAATTTTTTGTGGGCCCATATGAAGAAAGACTGTTAATCTTAATGCTTTCTTGAAGTGGAATGATAACTAGTCAGGAGTAGGCAAACAGAAATAAAAATGTTTCTGAGCAGGGGCTTTAGCAACTAGAGAGAGGAAAATCAAGCATCATGCCTAAGAACAATAGGCAACTGCTGGTGAGCTAGAATTTTTGTAGTAGATTAATAACAGTTTTAACAATAAAAGAAATATGAGCATTTTCAGAGATTCAGTTACAGCATAGAAAACTTACTGGGACTGAAAAAATCCAATTTTTTAAATTTAAAAAGTCAGTAGATGAAGTGAAAATAAAGGGTGGTCACTGTTACTGAGAGCTGAATTAGTAACTGTGTGTTGACATGGAAGACATTCCTGAGAGACAAAATATGAAAAGATGGAAATCATGAGGAAAAAAGGTATACAGTGGAAATAATATGGAGACAGCTGAGAAAACTTGCAAATAATAGGATTTCCAGAAAAGATAAACAGGTGGAGGAGGGAAAAGAGTTAAAAGAAGTATGTTAAAGAAAACTTCCCTGGATTAAAGATGGCTTAAATCTGCAATTTGAATGAGTTTGCCAACTGCCAGTCAAAATTATTGAAAAAGATACACTTCTAGACATCAGTGAATAAAATCCTAAATTTCAAGAATATAGGGAAGCTTCTAGACAGAAACATTTATATATAAGGGAGAAAAAATGACTAGTACTGTTGATCTGTGTAACACTGGAAGAATAAAATAACATCTATAGCCTATTTTAAGAAATGTATTACAAAAAAAAAAAAAAACAAATGTATTACAATCCAGTAATCTTATACTTAGCCAAGGTATTTTCCTTTCTGATAAGTGAACTTACTTTGCAGATAATGCAAAGATTGAGTTGACTCTAAATCCTCCCAGTAAAATACTCATGTAAGGTATTCTAACCAAGTGTATGCATCAAAACTAACTCCAAAGAGAGGAAACAGTGGTGAGGAATAATTCTTGTAATATATGTGGTTAAATTTAAATAACGTGTATTTGGTTTCTGTTGCTGTGTACTAAATTACCACAATTCAGTGGCTTAGACAACACACATTTATTTATTATCCATATTTTCTTCAGGTCAGAAGCCCAGGCACAGATTAGCTGGGTCCTCTGTTCAAGAGTCACAGGCTGCAATCAGAAGTGTCAGCCTGGGTTGTGGTCTCATCTGAGGTTTGAGGTCCTATTCCAAGCTCCTGTGGTTGTTAGAATTCAGTTCCTTGAAACTGTGGGACTGAGGTACCTGTTTTCTTGCTGGCTGTGAGCCATGGGCCATTACTTTCGGCTTCTAAAGGCTACCTGCAGTTCTTTGCCACATGACCCTTTCCGTACGTCCCTTCATAGTATGGCATCTTGGTTCTTCAGAGTCAGTAAGGAAGAATTTCTCTGTGCGTCTGCTAGATGGTGTCTTATATGTATAATATCATATATTGTCATATATATAATCATGATGTAATCATAGTGATTCCGTCACTCTTACCATATTCTGCAGATGAGAAGCAAGTCACAGTTCCCACATACATCTTAGGAGAGGGGATTATTACACAAGGATGTGAATTATTGCTGATTACCTTAGGGTGTGACTACTACCTAATGCTAATGTGAATGGGATTTTATAAGTGCTAAATAATGACTTTTGTAGTATTACCTTGAAATCCATACTATCTTTAATTAAAACTTAATGTGGTAGGGAAGAGAGTAGGGGCAGAAGAGCGGTAGTAAAAATAGTCTAAAAGTTTTATTTTACTGAATGAGAAAAGGAGAGGATAGCATATCTTGGTAAGGGATATAGTTTTTAATATAATCATGGAGAAATGAGAGTTTAATTTTTGAGTGTCAAGAATGGGAAGGTGACCTTAGGATGAAAAAGCACAGCAAAACTTTGAAATGAGCAAGGGAGGGGAGGAAAAAGATAAGGTCATTTGCTCAAATCAATAAAAATGAGAAAGAAGCAGCACTGATGTAAAATAACTAGTTAAATATAAAGTAAGATGGATGAATAAAAGGAAACATGTTGCTTGTTACACTAAATAATGGATTGAATTCCTCTAATAAGGTAGGGACTCTCAGATTTGGTTAAATAGTACATATTGAATTATGTGTTTATAAGAAACACTTAAAACAGGTTAAAAAATAAAAGATTGTCAAAAAAATAGGTAGACTACTGAAAATAAAGAGAAAATAGTGTAATTTTAGTATTAGGCAAAGTGGAATTTAAGGTTAAAATGAAAGTGCTGAACAGAATAGAGAAGGACATGTAATGATAAAAAATTAATGAAGAAAATAGAAAAATCATAAACACTTATGCACCAAACAACTTAACAAATAAAATGTATAAAGAAAAAACTAAAACAACAACAACAACAAGGTTTTTACTTGAACAGTACAGTTAGACTGGGAGATTTTAAAGATTATTTATTTATTTATTTATTTATTTGAGAGAGAGAGAATGAGAGACAGAGAGCACGAGAGGGAAGAGGGTCAGAGGGAGAAGCAGACCCCCCGCTGAGCAGGGAGCCCGATGCGGGACTCGATCCCGGGACTCCAGGATCATGACCTGAGCCGAAGGCAGTCGCTTAACCAACTGAGCCACCCAGGCGCCCCTAGACTGGGAGATTTTAATAAGCTACTTTCAGAATTGAAAATTTCTAGCAAACAGGAAGTAGGTAAAAGCATAGGAATTTGATTATATAGCCAACAAAGTCAGCTTACTATATAGAACTTTGCATTGTTAGATAAAATGAGTGGATTTATGTGTATACACACAAACACATGCACACATAACTACCCCGATTTATACGTTTCCTATTGTGGAATATTAAATGGTGTTCAATTTGGTTGGTTTCTAAATATAAATAATACTACCATGAACGTTCTTGTAAATACAGCTTTACCCACTTTTTTAAAAAACAGTAATAATGGTGCACCTGGCTGGCTCAATCAAAAGATCATGTGACTCTTGATCTTGGGGTCATGAGTTTGAGCCACATGTTGGGTGTAGAGATTACTTAAATAAATAAGTAAGTAAGTAAATAAATAAAGTTAAAAAAACAGTAATAGCTAATGTTTAATGAATTGCTATATGTCAGGCATGTTACAACATTATATTAATTTACATCTCACAAAACTCTATGAGGTGGGTTCTGTTATTTATCTGTTATTTATTTTAGTAGGCGGATGGGAAAAACTACAGTTTACATTAGAGAGGTTGAGTGGCTTTAGCTTCTGTGATGTTTCACAACTAGTTCATGGTTAAGTTAGTATGTTAAGTTTGACTCCAAAAACTAGCTCTTGAGAATTCAGGAGATATACTTCCAGCAGAAAATCAGTTAGATGGTTATGGTAAATTGTAATAACCAAAGTATTTTACAACCAAAGTTGTAATGATTATGAGAGTTTCAGTTTGGTTTTTTTTTTTTCTGCCTCTGCTTTTTAAAAATATGTTTATTTATTTAAGTTTTTCTTTATTTTTTAAATTTTATTTTATTTAAATTGAATTAATTAACACACAGTGTTTTATTAGTTTCAGAGGTACAGTTCAGTGATTCATCAGTCTTTTCTTAAATTTTTTATTTAAATTCAATTAACATATAATGTATTATTGGTATCAGAGGTAGAGGTCAGTGATTCATCAGTCTTATACCCAGTGCTCATTCCATCACCCAGTTACCCCATCCACCCACCCCCCTCCCCACCAGCAACCCTCAGTTTGTTTCCTATGATTAAGAGTCTCTTACGGTTTGTCTCTCTCTCTGATTTTGTCTTGTGTTAGTTTTCCCTCCCTTCCCCATGATCCTGTTTTGTTTCTTAAATTCCACATATGAGTGAAATCATATAATTGTCTTTCTCTGATTGACTTATTTTACTTAGCATAATACCCTCTAGTCAATCCACATCGTTGCAAATGGCAAGATTTCATTTTTTTGATGGCTGAGTAATATTCCATTGTATGTGTATATATATGTATGTGTTTATTTTCTTTATCCATTCCTCTGTCGATGGGCATCTGGGCTCTTTCCAAGGTTGGCTATTAGGGACATTGCTGCTATAAACATTGGGGTTCAGGTGCCCCTTCGAATCACTACGTTTGTATCCTTTGGGTAAATATCTAGTAGTATAATTGCTGGGTTGTATGGTAGCTCTTATTTTTAACTTTTTGAGGAACCTCCATCCTGCTTTCCAGAGTGGCTGACCATCTTGCATTCCCACCAACAGTGTAAGAGGGTTCCCCTTTCTGCGCATCCTCGCCAACATCTGTCATTTCCTGACTTGTTAATTTTAGCCATTCTAACTGGTGTGAGGTGGTATCTCATTGAGGTTTTGATTCGGATTTCCCTGATGCCAAGTGATGTTGAGCATTTTTTCATGTGTCTGTTGGCCATTTGGATGTCTTCTTTGGAAAAATGTCTGTTCATGTCTCCCGCCCATTTCTTGACTGGATTATTTGTTCTTTGGGTGTTGAGTTTGGTAAGTTCTTTATAGATCTTGGATCTTTATCTGATATGTCATTTGCAAATATCTTCTCCCATTCTATTGGTTGTCTTTTGGTTTTGTCGACTGTTTCCTTTGCTGTGCAAAAGCTCTTTATCTTGATGAAGTCCCAGTAGTTCATTTTTACCTTTGTTTCCCTTGCCTTTGGAGACATGTCTAACAAGAAGTTGATGCAGCCGAGGTCACAGAGGTTTCTGCCTGTGTCCTCTTCTAGGATTTTGATGGATTCCTATTTTACATGTAGGTCTTTCATCCATTTAGAGTTTATTTTTGTGTATGGTATAAGAGAATAGTCCAGTTTCATTCTTCTGCATGTGGCTATCCAATTTTCCCAACACCATTTGTTGAAGAGACTGTCTTTTTTCCATTGGATATTCTTTCCTGCTTTGTCAAAGATTAGTTGACCATTGAGTTGAGGGTCCATTTCCAGGTTCTCTGTTCTGTTCTATTGATCTGTGTGTCTGTTTTTGTGCTAGTACTGTACTGTCTTGACAATAACAGCTTTGTAATAGAGCTTGAAGTCTGGAATTGTGATGCCACCAGCTTTGTTTTTCTCTTTCAACATTCCTTTGGCTATTCAGGGTCTTTTCTGGTTCCATACAAATTTTAGGATGATTTGTTCCAGTTCTGTGATAAAAGTTGATGGTATTTTGATAGGGATTGCATTGAATGTACAGATTGCTCTAGGTAGCATAAACATTTTAACAATATTTGTTGTTCCAATCCATGAGCATGGAACGTTTTTTCATTACTTTGTGTTTTCCTCAGTTTCTTTCATGAGTGTTCTATAGTTTTCTGAGTACAGATCCTTTGCCTCTTTGGTTAGGTTTATTCCTAGGTATCTTATGGTTTTTGGTGCAGTTGTAAATGGGATCAGCTCCTTAATTGCTCTTTCTTCTGTCTCATTGTTAGTGTATAGAAATGCAGCTGATTTCTGTGCATTGATTTTATATCCTACCACTTTGCTGAATTCCTGTATTAGTTCTAGCAATTTTGTGGTGGACTCTTTTGCATTTTCCACATAGAGTATCATGTCATCTGCAAAGACAATTCTTTTTTTTTTTTTTTTTTTAAGATTTATTTATTTGAGGGCGCCTGGGTGGCTCAGTTGGTTAAGCGACTGCCTTCGGCTCAGGTCATGATCCTGGAGTCCCGGGATCGAGTCCCACATCGGGCTCCCTGCTCAGCAGGGGGTCTGCTTCTCCCTCTGCCCTCTTCCTTCTTGTGCTCTCTGTCTCTCATTCTCTCTCTCCCAAATAAATAAATAAAAAAAAATCTTAAAAAAAAAAGATTTATTTATTTGAGAGAGCAAGTACATGTACAAGTAGGGAGAGGGGCAGAGGGAAAGGAGAAGCAGATTCCACACTGAGTAGGGAGCCTGACATGGGGCTCGATCCCAGGGCTCTGTGATCATGACTTGAGCCAAAGGCAGATGCTTAGCCAAATGAGCCACCCCGGCACCCCTGAAGTCTATTGCTGTTGTATTACTGTCAGTTTCTCCCTTTGTGTCTGTTAATATTTACTTTATATATTTAAGTGTTCCTATGTTGGCTTCATATATACTTACAACTGTTACATCCTCTTGTTGGATTGATCCCGTATAATTATGTAAGTCCCTTCTTTGTCTCTTGTAATCTTTATTTTAAGGTTTTTTTTTGGTTTGATGTAGTTATTGCTACCCTAGTTTTTTTTTTCACCTCCATTTGCATGGACCCTTTTTTGGTCCCAACTTCAGTTTGTATGTGTTGTTAGGCATGAAATTAGTTTATTGTAGACAGCATGTTGATGGGTCTCGTTTTTTATCCATTCACTCACCCTATGTCTTTTGATTGGAGCATTCAGTCCATTTACATTTAAAGCAATTATTGATAGGTATGTACTAATTGTGATTTTTTTCATTGTTTTCTAGTTGCTTTTGTAGTGTTCTCTGTTTCTTTTTTTTTGCTCTCGTGATTTGATGACTTTCTTTAGTGTTATGCTTGTATTCTTTTCTCTCTTTTTGTTTTGTGTTTCCATTACAGGTTTTTTTATTTATGGTATTAACGTGAGGTTCATATATAACATTATGTATATAGGAGTCTATATTAAGTTGATAGTTGGTTAAGTTCCAGCACATTTTAAAAGCACTATATTTTTGCTCCCCCTCCATGTTTTATATATATGATGTAAAATTTTACATCTTTATTTGTGAATCCTCTAAGTAATTTTTCTAGATATAATTGATTTTACTACTTGTGTCTTTTAACCTTCATACTAGCTTTGTAAATGTTTGATGTACTACCTTTTTCATATGTTTGCTTTTACCAGTGAAAATTTTCCTTTCCTAATTTTCTTACTTCTAGTTATGGCCTTTTCTTTTCTGCTTAAAGAAATTCTTTTAATATTTCTTGTAAAGCTGGTTTAGTAGGGATGAACTTCTTTAACTTGTTTGGGAAATTCACATTTCTCTTTCAGTTGTGAATAATTACCTTCCCTGGAAGAGCATTCATGGTTTTGTTGTTTTGGGGTTTTTTGTTTGTTTTGTTTTGTTTTGTTTCTCCTTTCAGGACTTTGAATATATCCTGCCTCTCTCTTTTGACATGCAAAGTTTCTGCTGAAAAATCAGTTGATATCCTTATGGGTTTTCCCTTGTACATAACTATCTGCTTTTCTCTTGCTGCTTTTAAGATTTCTACTTTATCTTAACTTTTGATGTTTTAATTATTTTGTGTGTTAGTGTGGACCTCCTTGGGTTCATATTATTTGGTGCTCTCTTCTTCCTGAACTTGGATGTCTGTTTCCTCTCCCAAATTAGGGAAGTTTTCAGTTATATCTTCAGTTAAGTTTTCTGCCCTTCTATCTCTCTTTTCTTCTTCTTCTTCTGCACCCCCTATAGTACTGCTGTTATTACACTTGATGTTGTCCCAGGATTCCTTTAACCTATCCTCATTAATAAAAATTTTTTTTCTTTTTGCTTTTCAGCTTAGGTGCTTTTTTACTGCCCTGTCTTCCATCTCACTGATCCATTCTTCTGATCCTCTAATTTGCTGTTAATGCCTCTAGTCTATTTTTCCTTTCAATTTTGTATTCTTTAGCTCTGATTTTTTTTTTATACTTTCTGTCTCTTTATTGAAGTTCTCAGTGAGTTCATCCATTCTTCTCTCAAGTTTGGTGAGCGTTTTTATGATCATTACTTTGAACTCTTTTTCAGGCGGATTGTTTATCTGTATTTCATTTAGGTTTTTTTTGTTGTTGTTGAGTTTTATCTTACTCTTTCATTTGGAACATGAGCATGAACATGTGTCCTTATTTTGTTACCTCTCCTGGTCTTGAAGAAGTGGACTTGTGTAGGAATATCCCCTATGAAGACTCTGTGTGCTTGGCGGTTTTAGGTGGCCGGCTAGACCTGGAGTGTGCTTGGGCTGTGATCACCCTGGCGTGATAAGGCATGGCAGGTGGGGTTCTACCCTATGGGGATGGCTGGAGCTTGGGTCCTGGATCTGGCTATGGTAGCCCTAGCAGGCCAACTAGAGCACCTGAATTCTGATCCCATCTGCATTATCAAAGTGGAGGAACATAAGCAATGGTGCTTGCCAGCACCTGTGACCTGGAGAGAGTTCTAATAGCTGTGCCACTTTTTGTCAGATGCTCTAGGGTTAGTAAATGGATTTTCTTCAGGTATAGTCAGTTACCCTTTAAACCACTGTTTTTTGTTGTTGTTGTTTTGGGTTTTTTGTGCCTCAGGGCAGGTGAATCTGTGCACCTCTCAGTGACATCCCTCCCTTCTGCAGGTCATCGGATCGAGGTGAAGTTTCAGATACTACTGTGTCTTGTCTCTCCTACCTTTCTCTCTGTGGCCCTTCTGTCCTTTGTTGAGCAGAAGTTGTTCAGTCAGCTCTCAGTTCTTCAGAAGGAATTGGTCTATATATAGGTGCAGGTTCAGTGTGTCCATGGAGGTTGTGAGTTCAGGGTCTTCCCTATGCTACCATCTTGGACTGCCTCTAGCTTTGCCTCTTTTTGTGAATATTTTTGCAGACTCATTTTCTATAAATTCTGAATCAAGTTATGGCTAAATTGCCTTCAATCAGTTTACATTTCTACTTAAAATATATTTGAGTTTCTGTGTACCTTTAACATCATTCACCCTGGGTGTTACCAAGTTTTTTAATCTTTGCCAATCTAGCAGCTTATTTTTTCATTGGCATTTCTTTAACTATTAGCACAAATACATTACAAAATTTTTGTTTTTCTACTGTTTTGTCTAGAAAAATTAGTGTTCTAGAGGGTAATACCAGTCGTTCCACTACAAACTATCCAATTAAACATTTATATGTGTACATTTTTGTGTAATATCTTTTTACAGTATTGCCTTCCAACACACCAAATGTTCGCAGGACCAAGAGAACACGATTGAAACCTTTGGAATATTGGCGGGGAGAGAGAATAGATTATCATGGAAGGCCATCAGGTAAATTCCAATTTACACTTTAATATCTGACAATAAATAATAATGAGAATGCAACAGTTTATGTATATTATGTGCAAAGCACTGTCTTACATATTTACATAAATTACCTCATTTTATCATCATCTTCCAAAAATGAGGTCAGAACAGATTCAAGTACAGATTTGTCTGATTACTATAGAAATGCTTATCTTTTTCTCTCTTTGGTAGGAGTTTGAGGTGAGTGTGTTGCTTGAGAGTGTTATTATTCTATACTATTGAACAAGGTTTTTAATTGCATAAAGTAAGTCATTAGATCAGAACATGAGAAAATTATAAAAGTGGCAAAGATTAATAAGTATTCCCCTTTACTGTTCTCATCCCATTTGCTCATCATATTTTTCTACAGAAATATAGACAGTGGGCAAGAAAGTTATTTCCTTTCTGTGATGGATATATCTAAGTCAAAGAACTAAGCCCACTTGTGAATTATTATAAATATTTCATTGCTGGCTTTTGTGTTCTTTGTTATTCAACCTCACTTTTGATTTCAAGCAACAGAGATCATTCTATCATGTTTTATAAGTCATCTAGATTTAGGGTAGTAGAAACATAAGTGGATTTGGTTGGTATTTGTGTTGTTTGAGTTACTAGCTCTAGAATATAGTAATAGTACTATATTCTTTGATAGTCTAAAAGGAAATGTGCTATAGTAATTTAAATTTTGTTTCAATATTTTTACTCTCTCAGGTATGATACTTTACCTTTTTTGTTGTTAACTTTCAGGAGGATTTGTGATTGGTGGAATACTGTCCCCAGACACAGTATCACCTAAAAGGAAGTCAAAAGGAAACATTGGAAAAGTCAACAAAATGGATAATAGGAAAAGGATCTGTCTTGATAATGAGGAAAGAAGTATGAACTTATTCCTGAAAGTAACTTTTAGATTTTATTTTAAATAATATTGCTCTGAGAAGTAGCTCTTTACAAATTTTGGAATTTATTTGTAAAAACGTTAGATATAATACTTCAGGGTGAATTCACTTTTTTTTCTTTATTTCTTATTAAGTTTTTAATTGTAATTCCAGTATAGTTTACATACAGTGTTATATTAGTTTCAGGTGTGCAATATAGTAATTCAGCAATTCTAAACATCATTACTCAGTGCTCATCATAAGTATACTTTTAATCCCCTTTACCTACTTGACCCTTCCTCCCACCCACCTCCCTTCTTATATGCTTTATTTTAAATGAGTCCCCTCAGTGAAAGTTACTTTTTTTTTCAACAAGAACGTTTTTAACTTGAAACATACTTCAGAATACATGGTTCTAAAAGATATATATAAAACATTCCATCCAAGAAAAATAGAATACACATTTTCTTCAAGTACACACAGAAGAATCCTCACATAAAAAGAGACATAACAAATATTACAAATTTAAGAAGACTGAAATCATACCAAGTATATTTTCCAACCACAATGGTACAAAATTAAACATCAACAATAAAACAAAGCTGGAAAATCTACAGTGTAAACTATTAAATATTTAGTATGTAAATATTAAACACTACACTACTGCACAAGCAAGCATTGGGCCAAATAAGAAATCAAATGACAAAACTGGTCATTACTTTCAGTGTTACGTTATTGTTTATTCTGGTCTCTATTTTATTTATTTGATTTTTCTTTGTTATTTCCTTCCTCTACTAAATTTCAGCTAAATCTTTTTCTAGTTCTTGTGGTGTAATGTTAAGTTGTTTCTTTGAACTTTATGTCTTAATACAAACATTTTATAGCATAAATTTCACTCTTAACGTCTGCTTTTGCTGCAACCTATAGGTTTTGGAATATTGTGTTTTCTTTTTCTATTGTTTTGAATTCACTTTTTTTTCCAAAGATTTTATTTATTTATTTGACAGAGAGAGACACAGTGAGAGAGGGAACACAAGCAGGGGGAGTAGGAGAAGGAGAAGCAGGCTTCCCGCCGAGCAGGGAGCCCGATGCAGGGCTCAATCCCAGGACCCTGGGATCATGACCTGAGTTGAAGGCAGACGCTTAACGACTGAGCCACCCAGGCACCCCTTGAATTCACTTTTTAATGTCCACTCTTTTTTCCAAATTCTGAAAATAAACGTATTTTGCTTTTTAAAAAAATCATTAATAGCATAATATAAAACACTTCCCCATGAGTAAATTACCCTGTCATTGAAGCTCACTTTTCCCATGCTCAAATTATGATTAAAATAGACATTTTAATGAATTTTTAGTGTATTACATACTTCTGTCTCTCTGAGAGAATATTCAAAACATTTTTGATGATGCAAGAATATCAAGAGTTGTCATAACAGGTTTACAGAAAATAAGTTTAGTATGTTTGATTCTATATTAAATCATTGTGGTTTTTGAATTTTTGTTTATCACAGTAGTCATTTATAAATAGGAAAATAGGAAGAGATTGTTACGCCTGTGGTAGGCTTTTTCTTTCTTTTCTTACAACTTGTCCATAGCTGTATTTCATACTAGACTTTCTTTTAATTGAGAAGAATTTTAAGTAAGTAGTTTGTATTACAGTGATATTTCTTTTGCAGAGAATAAACTCATGGTAAATCTGAGTATACCTCTGGGAGATCCATTGCAGCCAACAAGGGTAAAGGACCCAGAAACAAGAGAGATTATTCCCATGGGTAAGATTAGGGATAATGAAAATGCTTAATTTAATAATTAGTAAGGACAGATTGCTGGCTTGATGACTAGCCTATCTGCCTTCTCTTTTTCTTCCCAACTCTTTTAGAGCCAAAGTCCAGCAGAGTCTCTAATTCCAGTAAGCAGCCTATGTGAGGACTACTCTGGGGGAGCTCTGATAGCAAACAATGTCTAGGGGACACATAGCACAATGTATTTATCCATTAGGGTACAGGTGTTATCATCAGGAGTGTTGCCTCCCCCAGTAGGGCCCAGGCCTTCTTTAACCAAGATGACACATGGGAACAGGTTTTTCCTTATGGGTAGCTGTTAAAATTTAGCTGGTAGATCCCAGAATACACCCTTACTGTGAGTCCAGGCAGGGATTGTGGGCAGGATTTAGACAGCCTTCTGGGCCATGGGATGCCAATAATAGTACCTAGGAAATCAGACCTTTAGGGTGATGACTAGCAAGAACATTGATATGCCACACAAATGCCAGGCTTAACCTTAAGGCCAGCAGAGGGTCCTAGAGGCCTACTGTTGTATCTAATAGGCAAAAAGTACATTGTCTCTGAGACCATGATTGGTTCCAAAGGATGGGCTATAGTGTGATGAGGGCAAGTAGGGGACACTTAGCTATTTACCAACAGGTAATATTTACATACAGGAAATATTTAAGTGTTTTAGCTGTTTTAACTATATTGATGAGTACTGAGGACCATTTATCCTAAGTCAGAGGACAAATAGGTCAAATCAGAGAGGCAGTAGTGGTATTCCCAATTAAAATTTTGGCTGTGAAATAGGTTCCATTTGACATCTTAAGTAGTAGAGTTATTTTTATAATCAGATTGTTTATTTGGCAACAGAGGTAGAAGTACAGAAAATTTTGTTTAGTGTAGTTTCTTAACTCAAAACAATGCTATATTGTTTCAGGTTGGAAAAGTTGTGAGTATTGTCAGGAGTTCATAACTTTTTGTCTGTTTCTTGAGTCTGTATTTTCTATATCCTGTAATCTGTGAGATTACTAACATTCCCAAATATCCAAGGAAACAGAAGTTGATTGCAGAAGAATATTTTAACTATATATTTGGAAAGATTTATAAGTAAAAGGGAAATTCAGAAATGAGATAGTGATTGTGAGCAACAGTAAGTACTCTTGCTTTACTTGATAAAAATCTTGCTATTTAATAATCAGTCAAGCAAGCACAAAATCTATTATGATGATATATTTAATTGTGAGCTATGTTAAACTTTTTAAAGATGTGGAATTCTTGTTTCTTAGCTAATTTTGTTTTCTGTCTGAGCCATAATAGAAATAATAATACTGCCATTGTTATTATTAATAGCTAAGACCTACCTAATGTTTATTTTGTGCCAGACAGTATTTTAAATACTTTATACACTTTAATTCATTTGATATTCACAACTCTAGCATAGATGAACTATTATTGTCCCATTTTATAGAAAAGAAGAGGCACAGAGAGAGAACTAACTTGCCTGGTCACACAACTTGTGAGACAGACAAAATTTGACCTCTACCATTCTAGCTCAAGTAAATGACCTTAATCACTTCTGTCTTTGTAAGGCAGGTTTATATCTAGGAAAAATTCTGTTGTATATGTGTGTGTATATGTTATATCATTGAGCGTTATTATTGCTGTTTGCTTTATATTTATATTAGTGTTTTTCCCTTAGATCTTTTAAGGCCACGAGATACGTATCAATTTTTTGTTGAGCATGGTGAGCTGAAAGTGTATAAAACACTGGATACACCTATTTTTTCTACTGGAAAATTAATATTAGGACCACATCAAGAAAAGGGAAAGCAGCATGTTGGCTCAGATATATTGGTGAGTGTATTTCTCCATATGTTTATGTTGCTCTATTGGTATAACTCTGATTTATTGGACTTGATGAGGTATTAAAAATGCTGTTTTATCAGAAATGATATTATTATAGTGCATAGAGAATTTTTCTGTTAAATCTGTTTAAAGTCAACCAGCTAACGGTTATTTAAAAGTACCTGTTCTGTGCATAGCGGTGTAACCTTGAAATTCAGAAGTTTAAGGAATGTTCTTTACTTAAAAGAACCATATAATATAGGTTTGCAAACAAATCATTAGAGCTGTTGAAAATTAAGTCTAAATTTCATTTCACTGATCATGTAGTTTAGCAATAATGAGATTTTAAAAGTCTTCAGAATCATGTCATCAGCAGTAGACAGAGGACTAGGAGCTACTTACTTCAATAAGCACTAAATAATGTATTACTATATGTGGCAGTATTACTGGCTGAAATTATAATGAGATTCAGGGTGAGTCCATCTCTTTCTCTCTGTCTCTCATTGGAGATACATGCCCTTGCACCATTGATATGAGATATATATATGTTGTATTTGTACGTTTTGAATTTGAAAATTACAGAATTTGAATATCACCAAATTTTAATAATATTTACTGTTTTACTGCCATTTAAAAATACTGAGTCTAAGGCATATTTTTCAGTAAGTAACATTTCAGGAACCTGTGATATCATGCATTACTGGAGTATTGCATTCAGAACAATTGTTTTTACTGACAAAATTAAACTCAAGAAAGAAAAAAAGAAAGAACAACAAGCCCTTGAGTTTATATTATCAAAGAAGGGCAAATTGAGGCAAGAAACGAAGGTACACATGAAAGTCAAAGAGTAATTCATTAATACATTAGTATAACTAGAATTGGATTTAAAATACTTTAAAATATGTTTTAACCCAATCTTAAAATATTCTCCAGATACTATTAAAAGAGTAAAAATAACACATTGAACTAACTAAAGTAATGATGATTTCTGCATAAAGTTAATTAATTAATATAAAAATGAAGATAAGCATTATGAAATATCATCATTGAAATAATAGCAGTTACCCATTAAACCATAATGCCTTTATTATACAAAAGAAAATTTAAATAGTAAATGTTTGAAAGTATTTAATCTGGCTACTATTCAAAGGAATCCACATTAAAAACAAGAATATTTTATATTTACATAGCTAGTAGAAATTATTGGAAAAATATTTGTACCCTTTGATTTATGAATCTCATTTCAGAGTATTTTCCTCAGAAAATAATTTAAAGGCTAGGGAAGCTGGACATATATAGGTATTTATTGTAACATTGATAGTAATTGCAAAAATTAGAAACCATTGGAAAGTGTTGCAGAAAGAAATGGTTATATTTTATATTTTGACTTAATAATAAGATGTCATTATATGATAATAAGCAGTTATATAGCATTTAGATGTTCCAGGTACTGTAATAAGCATTTTTATATCAGTTTAAGCATATTATTTTTGAAGAATAGCCATATAAGAAGACCTTTAGGATAAATATTTAAGCAAACTTATGGAAAATAGAAAACTCTCTATTTTATTCTGACTAGAATTTAAAAATGAAAATTGAAGGAACTATAGAAAAATAACATGTTATGAGATGATTATACTTGATTTTTATTTCTTCCAAGTATTGCCTTTAACTTTTTATAATGAAAATCAGAGTTAAAGTTTTTTATTTTTTTGTATAAGAGTATTTTTACGTTTTTTAAAACATGAAGCACACTTTTAAATATATGCTTTTGAGAAACAAGGGACCAGATGGAGAACTAGCATAGGCCGTTAACTCTTTCCTTCAAACTCAATATTAAAGAATCTGTATGAGAGGGAGATAGTAGCAGTAGTAGATTTGTTAAAATCAAACCACAGAAGAATTAACAGATTAACTATGGGAGTTGGTTGTGGAGCTCTCCCAAAAGACAAGAAGAGATTAAGAAATGGAAAATAAAAAAGTGAAGTGATGTGGAGAACAGAAAAAAAAAAAAAAAACCAGGAGAAGAGAGGAAAAAACACAAATGAGTGAAGGGGTGGAAATATTTGAAAAATTAGACAATAAATGTTCCAGAACTTAAAAAAGTGAGAGTAACATACTTTAAAGAACCAGAGTTCCTTAGAGAAATGTCTGAATGCAGGCCTGGACCTGAGCTTGAAATTATATATATATATATATATATATATATATATTTTTTTTTTTTTTTTTTTTAAAGATTTATTTATTTTAGAGAGAGAGTGTGGGGAGAAGGGGCAGAGGGAGAGGGAGAGAGAGTCTCAAGCAGACTCTGCTCTGTGCGTGGAACCTGACACGGGGCTCAATCCCACAACCCTGAGAATATGACCTGAGCCGAAACCAAGAGTTGGAGGCCTACTTGACTTCGTCATCCAAGTGCCCCTGAGCTTGAAATGTTTTTTTAATCATAACTGCTAGCAAACTTACCAAAGACCAGTAGAATTGGGTCATAAGGTCTCAGGATCCAGCTTGAAGATGCTCTCACTGGACAAAGATGTGAAAACTTGAGAATCAATAAGAATAACTTAAGTGGAGTGATACATATCCATTATATTTAAATTCATGAATTTGAAAGACTGCTATAAAAAAGAAAAACTGCTCCTGGAGAATTCTAGGAGCCTAACTTATTTTGACAACAAATATGGTAAATAAAGGGAAGTAAACATTTTTTTTTGCACTTTTCTTATAAACTGTACTGTTATGTAACCAAATAAAAATGAGGTGACGTTGTCCTTTTTAGAAATATTCCAATTAGAGGTGCCTGGGTGGCTCAGTCAGTTAAGCCTCTGCCTTTGGCTGAGGTCATGATCCCAGGGTCCTGGGATCGAGCCCCGCATCAGGCTCTCTGCTCAGTGGGACTTGCTTCTCCCTCTCCCTCTGATGCTCCCCCTGCTTGTGGTCTCTCTCTCTCAAATAAATAAATAAAATCTTTTAAAAAATTCCAATTAATAAATGAAAAAGGAATGATAGAATAAAATATTACCATTTTGCAATCCCTGATAAACTGTTGGATCTGTCTAGGCATTGAGTATGAATGTCTGCTAACATCTAAAAAAGAAGACGACCCCAGAAGTTGAAAATAGAGCTACCGTATAACCCAGCACTTGCACTACTGGGTATTTATACCAAAGATACAAACGTAGTGATCTGAAGGGGCACCTGCACCCCAATGTTTATAGCAGCAATGTCCACAATAGCCAACTATGGAAAGAGCCCAGATGTCCACCGACAGACTAGTAGAAAAAGATGTGATTGATATATATATATATATACACACACACACACATACACACACACACAATGTAATATTACTCAGCCATCAAAAAATGAAATCTTGCCATTTGCAACAATGTGGATGGAACTAGAGCGTATTATACTAAGTGAAATAAGTCAATCAGAGAAAGAATTATATGATCTCACTCATATGTGGAATTTAAGAAACAAAACAGAGGATCATAGGGGAAGAGAGGAAAAAATAAGACAAGAAGAAATAGGGAGACAAACCATAAGAGACTCTTAATCATAGGAAATAAACTGAGGACTGCTGGAGGGAAGGAGGTGGGGAGGGTGGGGTTAAAAAAATTAATTAAAAAAGTAAATTAAAAAATATATTAAAACAAAAGAGAAAAAATAAATAAAAAACAGACAACCAGACTTTATGTGCCTCCTGATGGAAGAATACAACGCTATGTATGAAATAGTCTTGCCTCTTCCATTTCCTTTAAAAACCAACCAACCAAAAAAAGAAAAAAACATAAAGCAAACAACAAAAATACCTGAATGTGATCAAAACTCTAATATCTAACTACCAATTTAAGGATATAAAGAATAGATGACCTTTCAAATGATACCCTGAGGTTATAATCAGCAAAATTCAACTATGCAAAGTTTTTTACAGCAAACTTTTCTGCTTGATTTCTTTAATAGGTAAGTTGCAAGGAATAAAAAAGAACCAAGTAGAACCTATAGATCAGTGTTTCTCAACCATGGCATTACTGACATTTTAGACTGGATAATGCTTTATTGTAGAGGGGCTTCCTGTGCATTGTGGGATGTTTAGTAGCATCCCTGACCTATGCCAACTAGATTCTAGTAGTACTCCTCTAGTTGTAAGAATCAGAAATGTTCCCAGACGTTGCCTCTTTGTCTCCTGAAATTGAGAAATTACCTTCAAATTGAGAACCACTGTAGACTGAGCAATTTAAGAGGATAAACAGACTCTTAAAAATACATTTAAGAGACAATTGGAAATTTTAATACTGACTGGGTATTTGATATTAAATATTTATTTATGTTTAGGTGTGATAAAACTGTTGTAGTCGTGTTTTTAAAAAGCACCTTGGGGGTGCCTGGCTGGTTCTATTGGTAGAGCATGTGACTCTTGATCTCAGGGTCGTGAGTTCAAGCCACATGCTGAGTATGGAGATTACTAAAAAAATAAATAAATAAAACTTTAAAAAATAAATAAAAATTTTAAAAACACCTTGATTTTTTAGTACACACTGAAATATTTACAGATGATTTATGATGCTGGGGTATTTATTGCAAAATAACATGGAATGGGGGAAGTAAAGAGATGGAACAGGGAAGGTTGTTGGTATTAGATATTCATAGGAGTTCATCATTCTATTTTTGTGTACTTAAAAAGCCTTCCTATTAAAATGTTTGCAGAAGTGGAAAGAGGTGTACTTAGCTAAATTGAATAAAGAAAAAAAAAACACTTAAAAATATATGCTTGACTCTCTGGGTAGTATGTTTGTTACCTTTTTGTCTTTTAAATTGAGGCAAAATTTCTTTAGATGTAATAAAAATTTTTTTTTTATTAAATTATAAAGTACCTTTGGAACTTTTTGAAGAGCTTTTTTCCTATTTAGGGAGTTAGCATATTATAGTGGTTAAGAGCATGAATTCTGGATTCAAAGTGCCTGAGTTCAAATCTCATTTTTGCCATTTATATTGTGAACTTGGAAAATTACACCCCTCTGTTGCCTCATTTTCTTCATTTGTATAAAGCTATTAAAATAGTACCTGTCTCATTGCTACTTACATACATTAAATGAATACAAATTAAGTGTTCAGAATAGTGGCTGGCAAGGAGTAAGTGCTATGTAAGTGCTAGCTGCTATTGTTTTCCTGGTATTTTAGGCTCATTTCACAAAGTGTTAAGAAAAAAAAAAGAGAAGGAGGTGGAAGAGGAGGAGGGATTCTCTGAGGCAATATATTTTTGATGGCTGAATCTCAAAATTTGAATCTGAATGTTTGAAGGCTTTATATTTTTTTAGTTACCCCAAAACCAGATCATTGCCAGGGTGTTACCTATGTATAAAATGTAAAATTTGCCATGAATATGAATATGGAAGCCTTTATGATTGAGAGTTAGATTTATCTTCTTTTACTTTCTTAATGTTGATGCTTGTTTAAATGTATCATTTATTTGTTTTGCTTTTTGTTCTTTCATCTGTCGGATTGAATTACCTGTCCCAACCATGTAACCTTTAAAGAGGTGTATATAAAACCTAGCTATTTTGTAGTATAGCTAAGTGATATTATTTACCGTGGTTCTGAATTTTCATAAGCTGGTAAATAATAAGAACAAAAGAAATTTCTTCCTGTATTAGTTTTCTATTGCTGTTTTAACAAATTACTATAAATTCATTGACTTAAAACAACACCCGTTTATTATCTCACAGTTATATTGATTAGAATCCTGGTGAGCTTGGCGTAGTATTCTGTTTAGAGTATCACAGGGCTGGAATCAAGATTTTGGGAGCTCTGTATCCCTCTCTGGAGACTCTTAGGATGCATCTGCTTTCAGGTTTATTCAGGTTGTTGGCAGAATTCAGTTCTATGTTGTTGTAGGACTGAGGCTCTCATTTCCTTGCTGGCTGTTGGCCAGAATTCAGTCTCAGCTTCTAGAAATAGCCTATATTTCTTGGCTCATGGCCCTCTTATCTTCAGTGCCAGCAACAGTCTATGTCCTTTTCATGCTTTGAATTTCTCTGGTTTTCCTCTGCTTCATCTTTCTTCTGCTTCTAGGAGAAATTCTCCACTTTTAAGGGTTTGTGTGATTAGAATAGGCCCAACTAGATAATCTAGACTTACCTATCTCCCAATCTCAAGGTCCTTTTTGCCATGTAACAAAACAAATTCTGGAGATTAGAGTGTGAACATCTTTGGAGGGTCATTATTCTGCTTACCACATTTCCTTTAAGTTTCTTTGTAGTGTGTTGTTGTGGTTGAATTTGAAATGAGATTTTAATTTTTAATTTTACAGGTTTTTTATGTTAACTTTGGTGACCTTTTATGTACCTTACATGAAACACCTTATATAATAACAACTGGGGATTCGTTCTATGTTCCTTCAGGTAAGAAAAATAAAGACATCTTCTTTCATATAGTTAAAATATTTATATAGTTGCTCATGAGTACCATGCAATGGAAGCCACAGTGGTCAAAATGAAATGTCATGTGACTCATGCCAATACATATTTTTATTTTATCATTAGGTAAGTATGTTAGTATTTGGGTACATGAAAATTGAACAAGAATTGCTTATTGCAAAATGTAAAAATATTTAGTTTTATCCACGGTAGGAGGAAAATTATTTCTGCTGTATTACCTATAAGACATTATGTAGTCAAGCAATTTTTAGTAGGTTATTTTAAACATACAGTATAGTATGTTTCATCAGCTATTAAAGAGCACAAGCCTCTGGAAAGAGGACTGTTAATTTGTTCATTTATTTATTCATCATTCAACAAAGGTGATTGAGAGTCTGTCAAGCACTGCTCTAAGAGTATAGGATACATAAGTGACCAAAACAGGGGAAAAAATCCCTGCCCTCATGGAGCTTACATTCTAATGAAAGGAGACAAAAATAATAGCAGTGTTTATATAGTCCTTAGTATGTACCAGCACTGTTGTGAACACATTATGATTATTATAACTCAGTTAATCTTAATATGTATCAATTTCTAATATATAGAAATTTTCTCTTTCTTCACCCTTGTCTAATTCACCTTAGCATTCATTATCAGAATGATGTGAGATTTTCATTTCTGTCAAACCTTATCTGGATCACAGGTGATGGTTAACTCTTGGATTTTTTAGTTCATGGAATTAAATAAGACTTACTTTAGGTTAGATGAATTGATTAAAAAAAATTGATACTATATACTGTAACTGTCTTAGTGATGGCTAAACATTCAACTAAAAGGAAATGATTCCTATGGAAATAATTTTTTTCTTACCACTTTACTTCTAGGTAATTATTACAACATCAAAAATCTCCTGAATGAGGAAAGTGTTCTTCTTTTTACTCAGATAAAAAGATGAAAGATGAAGCAAAGTTTAAATACGTATGTGTGTCTATATATATATAGACACACACACACATATATAAAAAACAGTTTGTGCAGTTGAGACATTTATCTTTATAATTATTTGTGATATTTTAAAATAAAAATTTTATTCAGTTTTGTGTGTTCTTTTATCTGATAAACATTTCAAACCCCCATGTGTCTTCTGATTTTTTTATAAATGTACACATAGTCTGTAGTGATGCCCATATTCATAGTATTTTAATAACATGAAAAGAATGTCTTCTCTCACAGTGAAATATAGGACATTTCTTTTTTAGAAGAGATTTGATTAATATGTTCATTCATTTAGTAATCTTTTCCAAATGTTTTAAGTCACTAACAAAATAATCCAATAATAGAGAATTGTGATACATATAAATACATCTGTATTACTTTCTTAGGGCTTTGTAACAGAATATAGTACAAACTGGTGGCTTAAAAACAAAAATTTATTGTCTCACAGTTCTGAAATCAAAATGTCGGCAGGACTATGTTCTCTCTGAAACCCTTAGGTTTCACAATAATGCTTCTGCTTAGCACTCATCTTTCTATTAGAAGGAGAATCAGTGTGAAAGATCATTAAAAAATAACTCAGGCTTCTTAATGTTACCAGATGCACTAAAAATATGTAGATTTAGGAGAGAAAATGACTAAATGTCACAAATCGCTAACAGCTATTCCTGAAGTCATTTTAATAAGTATTTTCATATTAACCTGAAAATCTTAGTTTCATTTGTCATCATTGTAATTCAACAGTATGCGTTAACTGTTGCTTTTATTTAAAAAAATCAATGCAAATTTATTTTCTTGTGAAGCTTGCTAAGACATTGTCTATTAACTTCTCAGTGTCTCCATAAATTGCCGAATTTAGTATATGAATAAACTTTTTATCACTAGAGAAGCTGGTTATATTTGCTTTCCCAAGTCAAGAGTTATAGGACTAGATGTGTTTCCATCTTTACCTAGACTGGACAGATTTTTGTTCAGTCATCTGCAGTGGCTTGATTATTTTTTTAAGTGAAGCATTTATTTTATTGATGTAACTTACAAATAGTCAAATGCATAGATCTTACAGTTCAATGAGTTCTTGGCAAGTACATCTTATACATTAAGCCACAAAGCTTTTGCCACTTCAGGAAGTTTATTCTGTCTAATTCAATACCTGTCAACCTGACTTGGGCCCTTGGGCCACCATTCTTCTTTATAGTGGTAGGGAGGTTGTTCTAGAACTTTATATAAATGGACTCATAAAATATACTTTCATTCAACACATTGTCTTAAGTTTCATCCACTGTGGTATGTATATCAGTTGTTCATTCATGTTTTATTTCTGAGTAGTATTCCCTATGAACACTGTTCCTTCTTTTTGTAATCCTTGGAAGAGTTTATAAAAGATTGGTAACATTTCCTTCTTACATGTTAGAATTACCGGTAAAACCATCCACGTCTAGAGTTTTCTTTATGGAGAGATTTTTTAATTATGGCTTTGACTTCCTTAATAAGTACCAGAATATCCAGATTTCTTATATCTTTAGTTTTGGTAAGCTAATTTTTGAAGAATTTCTAAATTTTCACCTTTAGCCTATTTCTAAATTTTCACCTTGGTTTGCTTGAAATTTATAGTATTTTCTCTTTCAAAGCTTTTTTGAGATTTGACATAAAATAATCTTAAAATACACATAAATTAATATAAAAATAGTACAGTATCTGAAGCACAAATTTTGCTGTATAATTATTTCTTTTTTTGGTCATTTTTTGTTAGGCTTTTATCAGTTTTGTTCTTTCAGAATAATTAACTTTAGTTTCATTGATTTTTTTCTCTTTGTATTTCTATTCCATTCATTTTTTATCTCATCTTTATAATTTAGTGCATTCTGGGGCACCTGGGTGGTTTAATTGGTCCAGCGTTGGGAGTCTTGGTTTCAGCTCCGGTCATGATCTCAGGGTTGTAGATCGAGCTCCTCATTGGTCTGGGCTCTGTGCTCAGCAGAGTGTCTGCTTCTCTCCTCCCTCTCCATCTCCCTCTTTCCTCTCTCCCTCTCTCTCATAAATAAACAAATATATCTTTATAATTTAGTGTATTCTACTTTGGGGTTTGATTTGCCCTTTTTTTCTTAGCTTCTTAAGATGAATGTTTAGACTATTTTAGAATTTTCTTCCTTTCTAATTCAGCCACTTAAAGCTTCACTTTGATATGTCATTTAATTCAAGATATTTACAATTTTTTCTTGTCCTCATTAACCAGTGGGTTATTTGGAAGTGTTTCTTGTAAATTGTGAATATTTGGGGTTTTTCCAGATATTTTGTTTCTGAACTAATTTGGAGATTTGCTAAGTTTTTCTGCAGTTTTCACTTTTGCAGCCATATGGTTTACATTGCAACTACTCAGTTCTGCAGCTGAAACATGAAAGCATCAGTAGACAATAAGTAAATGAATAAATGTGGTTATGTTGCAATAAAACTTTATATACAAAATGCAGTGATCTATATTCAGCCTGTGAGTGTGATTTGTTAGCCTCTGATGTATACAGAAAATACACTTTGTACACTTTCAATCCTTTTAACATTTATTGATACTATTTTATGATCAACAATGTGGTCTTTTGAGCATGTTCCTTGTGTTAGAAACAAATGTGTATTCTGTTGCTGTTGGGTGGGGTATTCTATGTCTGTTGGTTGATAGTGTTGTTTAAGTCTTCCATATACTTACTGATTTTTGTGTAGTTTTTCTTTCCATTACTGATGAAGGAGTATTGATACCTCTGATTCTACCTATTAAATATTTATTTCTTTTTTATATCTGTCAATTTTTGCTTCATCTATTTTGATTCTATTATTAGGTTCATATTCATTTATCATTGTTTTACTGTTGAACTATTTATCATTATGAAATACTTTTAGTAATATTTTTCATTTTAAAGTTTATTTTGTCTGATGTTAATATAGCTACTTCAGCTGTCTTTTATATACCATTTGTCTGATGTATCTTTTTCTGTCCTTTTAACATTAATTTATTATGTCTTTTAATTTAAGATGTGTCTCTTATAGAAAGCACATAGTTGGATCTTGAGTTTTTAAAAATTCAGTGTAATAGGTTCTGCCTTTTGATTGGAATATGTAATCCACTTATTTAATGTAAATATTGGTAAGATCGAATTTATGTTTGCTGTTCTGTTTTCTATATGTCTTAAGGGGTTTTGTTGTTTTTATTATAATTGTTTCTTCCTGTCTTATTTTGGGTTAGCGGTCTTTATAGTGTACCATTTTAAGTCTTACGAATTTGTATTTTGAGTTACTATTTTAGTGGTTGCTATAGAGATTTCTGTATTCATCTTAAGTTTATCTCAGTCTCTGTCAGGTTACTACTGACTTCATTTCAGTAAAATTTATCAGTTTTGCATTTTTTTAGCTTCACTTCTTTCCCCTTCTAATTTATACTATGTCATTGTATAAATTACATTAGAATATGCATATATTTGACTGTATATTTATATATTCCAAAAGTTTTGTTATTTTTGTTTTGAATTATCCTCTTTTTTTTAAATTAAGAAAAGAGAGAAAACATATACAATCTTTTATATTTACTGTCTTTAGTATTCTTCATTCCTTCCTGTGTAACTAACATACTACCTGGCATTTTTCCTTCCAGCCTGAAGAACTTTAGTACCTTTTACAGAGTAAGCCTATTAGCAACATATTCTCTTAATTTTTGTGTATCTGGGAATGCTTTTATTTTGACTTCATTTCTGAATGATAGTTTCACTTGATAATTTTAGGTTTATAGTTTTTTGTTGTTGTTTGAGCACATTGACTTTGTTTTTCCATTGCCTTTGTCCTCTATCATTTTTTTTTTTTTTAAGATTTTATTTATTGACAGAGAGAGACACAGTGAGAGAGGGAACACAAGCAGGGGGAGTGGGAGAGGGAGAAGCAGGCTTCCCGCGGAGCAGGGAGCCTGATGCGGGGCTCGATCCCGGGACCCTGGGATCATGATCTGAGCCGAAGGCAGATGCTTAACGACTGAGCCACCCAGGCGCCCCCTCCATCATTTTTTATAAGTCCATTGTTAATTTTCTGTGTGGTGAATCATTTTTCTCTGGCTCCTTTGAAGATTTTTTTAGTCTTACCATTTTGACTCTGGTGTTTCTAGATTCTCTTTGTATTTATTCTACTAGGGATTTGGTGAGCTGTTTGCATCTGAGTGTTATTGTTTTTAATCAAATTTGGGAACTTTTGGGCTGTTATTCAAAAGTTTTTTTCTCCTTTTTCTTTCCTCTCCTCCTCTGACTCTCATTACACATATGTTGGTTTCTGATGTTCTGTTCATTTTTTCAATCTTTTTTCTTTTAATTCTTTGGATACTTTCTAATGATATGTCTTTAAATCAATGATTCTTTGCTATATCATATTTGCTGTTGAGCCCATGTAATGATTTTTATTTTTAATTTCAGTAATTATGCTTTTTAACTCTAGAATTTAAATTTGGTTCTTTTTATAGTTATATAGATTTCCTATTTTATTGATTCGTTTTTAACATACTTTAGTTCTATAAGCATGTTTAATACCCTATTGAAGTCTTTGTTAATCTAATGTCTAGGTCCATATAGACTCAGTTATTAATGACTGCTTTTCTTCCCTTTAGTGTGTTTCATGCTTGTCTGTTTTTTGCATGTCTAATAATTTTTGGCTGAAAATTAGACATTTTAGGTAATATATTGTAGCAATTCTTGGTTATGTTTTATATCTAAGATTTCTTCTTCTTTTTTTTTTTTTTAATTTATGATCTTGCCTGGACTCAAACTGTGGAATCTATTGTCCCTTTGGTGTCTCTGCTCAGTTTTTTAAATTCTTTATTTCAGTTTTTATCCTGGCTCCCTAGGGGTAGCCTTTGTCTCTATATAGTTTAGTAGTCAGCCAATGTTTAAACAGAGGTTGACATCAAACACTTCTGAGTCTGTAGATCTTCTACCCTCTGCTAATTGTTCCCTGTGTGGGATAGGGGAGATACGTTCAGTATTGCAACCAGTTCTCAAGTCTTCCTGTGGTCTCTCCTGTGTTTGCCTCATTTCTGAGTTAGACAGGATATGTACAGAACTAATCTTAGCCCTTCTGTGTCTGTCTTGTTTCCAGGATCATCTAAATAAATTTCTGGCAGTTCTGTTGCTCTCTAAGAACTGGGACTATAACTTTTGGCTAGTAACTACAGGTTTTCCCTGGCCATTCCTAACTGATTTCCTCCACATTAACTGACAAAGCTATAGATTTAACACTGCTGCACTGAATCAAGTCCATTCCCTCTTAGGGCAGAGTTGTTGGTTTTTGTAGTCGGTCATAGCCTGTTAAAGATACAATCCTTACTGATCAACTTGGGTAGAATGAGAACCTCACTCAAGAATCCCACAGGCTCTAACTTTTTTTCTTTTTTTTTTTTTTTCCAAAGCTCTAGCAGTTTTTTCAGGAATAAATAGTTCTCAACTTATAATTTACCCTAGGTTGGTTTCTTATGCCTTGAAATGATAGTTTTTGACCATTTTGTCTAGCTTTATATTTTTTTAAGTAGGGAAATTGTTGACCTCTTCATACTTGTATTACTGGAAATAAACTTTATTTTATTGTTGGTTTTTTTTTTTCTTTAAAGAATTTTATTTAGGGGGTAACTTATTATTGATCAGCGTGATCCTGTTGAGAATTCATTTTAGTTAGGACAGTTTTAGATTGGCTGTTACTCTAGGGACTGATTCTCACCTAGAGGTGATTTTACGATTCAGTGGACATCTGGCAATGTCTGGAAACAGTTTTGGCTTTTCTTTTTAAGATTTTATTTATTTATTAGAGAGAGAGAGAATCAGGGGGGTGGAGGGGCAGAGGAAGAAGAGAATCTTAAGCAGACTCCACGCCGAGTGCAGAGCCTGACGCGGGGCTCAATCCCAGGACCCTGAGATCATGACCTGACCTGAAACCAAGAGTCAGACGCTTAACTGACTAGCCACCCAGGCGCCCCTGGAAACAGTTTTGATTGTTACAGTGAGTATGTGTGTGGGTGCTACTGGTACTTAATGTGTAGAGGCCAGGAAGGCTGGTAAACATTGTACAATAAAACAGACCCTCCCACTTCCAACATTGCATGCCAGATAATTTACCTGTTAAAATGGATCAGTAATGCTGAGGTTGAAAAACCATGTTCTAAAGGCAAAGTAGCTTTCCTAAAGTGTGGCCTTTCTGTGTCTAAAGTAAAAGCCTGGGTTGTTCAACAAGGGCTCTCTACTTTGGTTGGTGAGAACCATATCTACATTTTGCCCCTTCTTTCAGTGCACAGCTCCTGGTAATTCTGTCAGGGCTCACAAAGTTTTTTTGTTTGTTTGCTTTTAATAAAAATTGTATATAAATTGTGTATAGCATGGTGTTTTGATATAGATAGTGAAACGATTACTGCAGTCAAGCTAGTTAGCATATGTCTCCTCAGTTTCCATTGTGCGTGTGTGTTTGCATGTGTGGCAAGAGCACCTAGAATCTGCTCTCTTAGCAGATTTCCAGTACATAATACTGTATTAACTGTATTTGTCATACTGTACATTAGATCTCCAGAATTTTTCATCCTATATAGCTGCAACTTTGTACTCTTTCAACAACCATCTCCCGATTTCCTCCACTTCCGTGCCCCCAGTAACCACTGTTCTACTCTTCTTGAGTTCAACTTCTTTAGATTCCACATATGAGATAATTTTCCAGAGAAGACATATAAATGACCAACCAGGTGTATGAAAAGATGTTCAACATCACTAATCAGGAAATGCAAATCAAAGCTACAATGAGTTATCACCTCACATCTGTTAGGATGGCTGTTATCAAAAGGATAAAAGATGTGTGGATGAGGAGATGGAGAAAAGAGAACCCTGTTGGTAGGAATGTAAAGTGTACAACCTTTATGGAAAACAGTATAGAGGTTCCTAAAAAAATTAAAAGTAGAACTACCATGCAATTCGGTAATCACTCTTCTGGGTATATATCCAAAGGAAATGAAATCAGAGCTATTTGCACTTCCATATTCATTGCAGCATAATTCACAATAGTCAAGATACAGAAAGAAGCTGCCAACAGATGAACGGATAAAGAAATTGTGGCATATATATACATAATAGATATTAGTCTTAAAAAAGGAGAGCATGCCATTTGCAACAACATGGATCAGTCTGGACTATATTATGCTAAGGGAAATGAGCCAAATACAGAAAGACCTCATTGAATTTTGTCCTGCATATTTACAATTTATTCAGCCAAACTCCAGGGCAAACCACATGTTGTAGCTATTTAAATTTAATTTAAACAAAATATTTAGTTCCTTATTTGCACTTGCCACATTTCAGGTGCTCAGTAGCCACATGGCACTGGTGGCTGTCATACTGGACAGCACATTAAATATTTCCATCTTTGCAAAAAATATGTATTTCCATCGTTACAGAAAGTTCTATTGCACAACACTGTTTTGGGGCACCATGCAGGTTTCTGGAGCTCTATTTTCAATGCAGTTTCCTCTTTGGTATCCCACTGCAATTCCAGCTCTCTCAACAGTCAACAGTCCCATGTTTTCTCTGCCCCATGAGACCACTGCTCTGTTTGAATTCCACTCCCTGTGCTCAGTTTGGAAAGTGCCCTTAAGCATAAAATCAGGTGATTGTGGAGCTAACCTTAGGCCTTTCAAGAATTGCAGCTCTGCACTGTTGTCCAATGCCTGCACATAGTTATGTTTAATATTTTGCTAGTATATAGTTGTGCAGAGAGAATAAATTCAACATCCAT